TCCTATTAATAGGCTTCATTTCTGTCTCATGACCACCCACTAACACTAAAGGACTGCAGTGGATCTGACTGACTATCAATTTCTCCTCCTGGTACTTCTGAGCAGGACTGACTCAGGTAGACTGCTCTGACAATTGCACAATAATTTTACACATGATACCAGGTACCTTTGAAAGAAGGCAAGAAAAATAACAATTACAAATGCTTTTAATGTGTTTCCCCTGTGCTTTATAGGCAATCCATGTACGTGAGAGAGATCGGACCATGACAAACCTTCTGGAACACTTCGATTTCTACATCATGCCTGTGATAAATGTGGATGGCTATGACTACACGTGGAGCCACCCCTCTGTATGTAGACCTTTTTTGAGAGGTTCATCATTGTGCATGGTTAGGACATAGTTTTCATCCTGGAACTGCACACCCCAAACTCTTATTCTGTGCTTGGAATTTCTGCATCTTTGGCCACAGAAAGTTGGATTTGTGCTCCTAAATTCACATGCCAGGCCAAACTGTATGTCTTCTGCCTTCCTTTCACAGTTCAAATTCCATTGAAATCAAAATGTTATTACTTCTGATCTTACCCAACATTTCCTTTTATCACCCAGCCTTGCTGGCAAACAGACTGGGGTTTTAGAATCTTCTTTGGTCTTTGCTAGTGGAGGACTGTAGAGGCACATGTGGGAAGTCACTTTTAACTAACCAGTGAGGTGGTGCCTTGCCTTTTTCAGCATTTTTCCCTGAACATGGCTTGTGTGTCTCTTTCCACAGAATCGGCTGTGGAGAAAAAGCCGCTCCTCGCATGGTAACAGCAAGTGCATTGGTACTGACATGAACAGGAATTTTGATGCACACTGGTGTGGTAGGGCATAATTTTCTTCCTATTGTACCCCTGCCTCACTTTTGGCCTTTAACATTTTTTATTTTGAAAACATTTTCATCTACCACTCTGCAAAATTAATATAAAGACAAATGCAGCTGAGTATCTGTTATGAACTGGTGAAAACTTTCCCAGCATTAGATTTCAGTCATTCTAGCCCATTGCTAAACCACCCATGGCTGATATATCATGCATATCATGCATGAAAAACATGCTTTTTGGGTTTTTTTTCCCTAAACACCAAAGATCCTGACTGCTTCCAGGAAGTTATTTGGTCTTATTCTGAAGACAGAAGCGGTGAATCCTATTTGTCATTTTGATAATTTGTTCCAGCATCAATTTTTCTTAAAAATTTTCATTTTGATTTGTTTCCTCAGCTTCCCATTGGGAGTTTTCTTTCCCACAAGATTAAATAATCAAGTAGAATTGCCTTTTTCCTGTAGTACTTCTAGATTGTAAGATGTGATCTCACAATCATGTGATGATTTTAAATGACGCATATTCATCCTCTCCTCTAAGACTTTCTATCCAGTCTTTGAATATTTTTTTTCTACATCTTCTCCTTGATTGTGAGTCCTTTCCATAGCATGGTGGAATCCATGATACCTTGTGTATTAGTATCATACTCTGCTCTTTCATTTCATCCTCTTTCATTTTTCATGAACAGAAATGCAGAAGGGAAGAAGTAAAGGAGTAAAACTGTGCACTTTTTTTTGGCTAAAGGTCCAGGAGCATCTCACTCTGAATGTCAGGAGACGTACTGTGGGCCCTACCCAGAGTCTGAGCCTGAAGTGAAAGCAGTGGCTCGCTTTGTCAGAGATCACAAAGACACCATTAAAGCCTACATAACCATGCACTCCTACTCCCAGTTGGTGTTGTTTCCATATTCTTACACCATGAACAAAAGCAAAGACCATGAGGAGCTGGTAAGTCTTCCCACCTCCTAAAGTTTCACACATTTCAGAACTATTCACCCAGCTTGGTGAGTCTGGTAATGAGGGAATCACTATGTTGTGAGGATCAAGAATTAGGAAATGACATTTTTCTAAGATGTTCTTAACAACTTTTTAAAGTCTGGGATGGTCTAGTAGTGTGTAAGTCAGCAAGCTGCTTTTGAAGGCTACAGAAAAATGAAAATATTTATTCCAGATTGATTATACATCAACAACACCTAATATGTTGAAGCTCCTGCTAAAAGAGCAGTCTTGTTGTTCTGGACATCTTGAAAAGATATATATGTGCAAATTCTTCACTATGTTGTATGGTTTATATAAACTCTGAAATTAATTGTGTGTGACTCTTGTAAACACCCTTTACAATACCTAAGCAATGAGGTATTCTGGTGGACACTTGCTACTTTTATTAAGGCTTTTGCTAGGGATACTTATTTAGAATTGTCTTAGTGGTAGGATGGAAAATATATCCTGCATACGTAGAATTTTACTTTCTTGAGCCACCAAATGACACAGTACAAACTCTCACTGAAAAGAGCAGAGTTCAAAACAGAACAGTTACTCTTGCTCTGTAAAGCAGACAGAGGTGCACTGATTATGGGCATTTTAGCCTTCTTCATGGCTTAAGAGTAGGGTTCTCTCAATTAAAATATTTTCCTGCCATATTTGTCAGTATTACTTAAATAAAGAGTAACTTAAATACTGTGGCAGAAAAGAAAAAAATACGAGATGAATGAGAACAAATGGTTTGACAACAGTTTACTGCCAAAAGTGAGGATAAGGTCCCATCTATACTTTTTATCTGTCTACAGCAGAAATGCAGTATGTAGCATAGGCATACACAGAAAACTTGTACCACATTCAGTGGGTTTTCTAGAACCTTTTATATGATTATTTAACCAAAGTGAAAATCTGAGCACACTGTAAGTAAATTCTAACTGCATACATATTATCTATTGTCACAAGGGCTTAAAGGCAATATATTGTTTAATTTCAGGAAAGTCTGGCACAGAAAGCAGCTAAAGCTATAAAGAGGACAACTTGGAAAACTTATATACCTGGTGCTGGTGCATCAACAATCTGTAAGTATGACTTTACTGCAATGAAAGGCATGACAGTGTATCTTTGCTAGCATCAAAAGACAGCTTTTGAACAGAACATGTTCTGGTTTCAGGCAATTTTTCTATTTTCCCTTCCTCACATAGATCTAGCTCCTGGAGGGTCCGACGACTGGGCCTATGATCTTGGCATTAAATATTCTTTCACCTTTGAGCTTCGTGACACAGGAACTCACGGATTTCTGCTTCCTTCTCGAGAAATTAAGCCAACTTGTTTAGAAGCACTTTCTGCTGTCAAAGTGATAGCTCAGCATGTTCTACAAAATTTGTGATGTTGAATATAATTTATTCCAACATGATTGTACTTAGTAACTTACGAAAATGTAATAAAAAAGCTTGCTCCTTTATTAAAATTCTTTCCACATAGGCAAAACCCCAGAATAACTGCACCCCCTGCATTTTAGAACACCTTGTTTTTTTTCAGACATACTTATATACCTATATCTACCGTGGTAGCTCACTGCACCACAAGTATAATAGAGAGAGCACAGTACAAGGGGAAAAAAAAAGCACACATGTCCCACCAGATGGTGAAAACTCCAGGTGAAAGGGTCTCTGACTGATACAGGGCACACCGGGCAGACTCCATCCATAGAAGAGATTCCCCCATTTAGGTCGTGCTGTTTTAGAGGATCTTGTTACAAGACAACAACCCTACTTTTCATGTCCGCTGTGACACAGGAAGGGTGTTCACAGCAAGGTGAGCACACACAGGTGGCCAAACCACCAAGTGGTAGCAGCCAAGTTCTGTCACCCTGCCGTCAAGGGTTTGTTGCAGCACTGCACTGGCCTGAAGACTGTAAGACCTTTGTAAGATGACAGGGCAAGGGACAACAGTTTTAAACCAAAACCGGACAGGTTTAGATTAAGAAAGAAGAAAATTTTACAGTAAGAGTGGTACAGCACCGGCACAGGTTGCTCAGAGAGGTGGTGGATGCCCCATCCCTGGAAACATTTATGGACAGGCTGGATGGAGCTCTGAGCAACCTGTTCTAGTTGAGGATCATGGAAACACAGATTCACTGAGGCTGGAAAAGATCTCAGAGATAACTGAGTTCAAGCTACACTCCACCACTACCCTGTCAATTAGACCAAGGCACAGAGTGTCATGTACAGTATTTCCTTAAACACCTCCAGTTACAGTGATTCCAGCACCTCCCTAAGCATCCATTCCAATATTTAATCATCCCTTCTGTGAAGAATTTCTTTCTAATGTTCAACTTAAACCTCCATTGGTGCAGCTTAATACTAGGTCTTCTCATCCTGTCATTTGTTGCAAGGAGAAGAGACAGGCCGCACCGGGCTAAATTTCCTTTCAGGCGGTTGTAGGGAGGGACCCCTGAGCCTCCTCCAGGTTAAACACTCCCAGCTCCGTCAGCCACTCCTCACAGAATTTCTGCTCCAGAGCCCCCGCCAGCCCCATTGCCACTCCCGGGAGGCGGAGCCGGGCGCCTACCCCGCCCTCCCCAAGATGGCGGCACTGCCGCTTCCGCCCTTCCCGCCACCGCCCTCCCAACTGCGACGTCACCGCCGTCGTCATCGTCGTCATCATCGGCGGCGGCGCGGGCGGCGCGAGGGCCGCCGGGAAGGGCGCGCGGAGGCGGTGGCGGCGGCGGCGCTCCCACGACGGCTGTCCCGGCGCGCGGGGCGGGAGCGGCGGGTCCGCGGGGGCGCGCGCCGCTCCGCGCGCTCCTCCCCCTCCTGCCCGCGCCGCTCCGCGCTCAGGCCCGGGAGGACGGACCCCCCCCTCGCCCCCTCCCACCCTCTCCGCCCCGGGCGGCGGCGGAGGAGGCGGCGGGGAGCGGCGCGGCAGCGCAAGGAGCAGGTGAGTGCGGCGAGGCGGCCGCGGGCGCGGAGGGTGGGCTGGAGAGGCGGGGCGGGCCCTGGCGTTCCCTTCCCCCCGCCCGGCCCCGGTCCTGGCCCGCGGCCGCCGGGCCTCGGGCGCGCTGGGCCTGCGGGGCGCAGCGGCGAGGAAGGGCCGCGCTCCCGCCCGGTTTGGTGCGCGGCCGGGGGTGCACGGGGGGCTCCACGAGGAGGGGCGAGATGAACCCGCGGAGGCGCCATCCCGCCGTGTGCCCGGGGTGCCGTTCCGTCAGTCGGTGGTCGTACTGGAGTCTCCTTCCCGTATACTCGGATATTCCCTGCTCGGGGGTATATTTTGGTTGGATTTTGGTTTTGTTTGTTTTTTTTTTTCTCCCACTTCAGTAGTCCTCTTCTCCCACTTTCTGGCAGTAAAATAGTTTCTGCTTTATGTGCTCAAGAGGGACTGCTAATTTCGCTTGTAAAAATTCACTCATCACCATTCCTTTAAATAGCAGCTACAGCTAACTCCCATCCCTTCCAGAACTTGTAGCCGGGCAGGTTGGGTTAGTGTGTTACGGGTGGTCTGCTTAGGGCCTCGCCTCTCACTTCTCGATGGATTCTCGCTCCACCGCTGATATCTTGTCAGCTTTCTGCAACACTTTGAAAATCAGGTGTTTGGCTCTCAGTGGGTTAGCAACCAGCGCTTTGTGGGATCTTGGGCTGCTAATGAAACACTCCCGGTTCCTCTGTGCAGATGGGAGTGGAGAGTCTTAGCCAATGTACCTGAAAGCTAAAAAAGTGTGGATTTATGTGGCAGTGCCCCAGATAATACACCCTGCTTCTCAGCATGTTTGCTGAGAGTGACAGCACGCTAATAAGCTGATCCAGCTCATGGATTAGAGGTAATGTGTATCCAGCAAGCTGGATACTGAGGCTGAGTCAACTTGGACCTGTCCACGCCAGTCTGTACAGACTGTCCCTTAGTCTGGGGAAACATCTTCTTTGAGTATGAAGATTTTGTTAGACACGGCATGGAGTCCTCTATACTTCCTGGTATCATACTGGGCCCTGATGTTTTTATTCACTCAAAGAAAGCCAACCATGATTTTGTACTCGTGCAAACATAATTAGCAGTTGCTTATTGCTACTAGTGGAGAAATACCGTATGTGAAATTAGAGGGATAGGGTCAAGTTACTATTGTGATGGGTTACCAACAAGGAGTTTTTAAATTTGAGTTAATTTCTAGTTTCGTGTCAGACAGGCTGTGTGAGTATTTGACTGCTCTTTTGCAAGGTCCATTATGAATGCATTTTACGATTTCTAGTAATATTTTTAGGTAGTAAACCCATGGAGCTTCTTAGAATATCATGATTTTATTAGTGATGTGACATGGAAGTGTTAACATTGTAATAGGACCCAAAATGTTTTCAGGTAAAAGCTCTTCATTTTAAAAAGTGCAGGGAACCATTCTCAAAGCTGTTATTCAGTTTTCATCATGTATTTAGTTTATCAGGGAGTGTTAATAATGAGTTTGTATCTGAACTTCTGTAGGACTTTGAAGTAATTTCGCTTGTTATTTGAAATGGCATATTATTTATCTTTTCACAGGTAGGATTTTCTGAAGTGATGTTATGCTTAGCTTGTGTGTGGTGTGCATGCGCAGACATTGACATGCTCATGAGTGATGTCTTGGACTTCCTAAAGAGACTTTTATCTCCTTAAATGTTTTCTTGGTTTTGAACTTTGCTTTTGTTCTGTTACATCTCAATTTCAAGTTTTCCTGTGGAATCCTTCAGGATTCATTTTTTCGGGGGACTGGATTAGGTTTTTCTAACAGAAAACCAGGTGTTTCAGGTGTCTCTTGATTATGTAGTATCATACTGATTTTGAAGAAAAATGTTAAGCATGCTTGACACCAAAACATAGGAATGCTGGTAATAAAAAATACAAAATATCAGTGAATGCTGTGTCAGTCATATCATGCCTCATTGATTTCAGTTCATTGGTCAGTGATCACTTGGTGCACTCACTTCTCTCAAGTCTGTCACATTTTAGACGATTCATGTAAATAACACTCCGTGATATGTTCTCCTTCAAATGGTAGTGTAATCAATGTCGTTAACAGATTGTCTCTCATCCTGAGGAAGTTACTTCATTTAAAGAATAACATAGATGCATCCGTGAATGAGTTATTCTAGCGTCATAATATTTCTAATTTATTGTAAAGGTTGTCGTGGATCTTATTTATGCATGGAAAAGTGATAATTTACAGTTAAAATTTTAGGAGGATAAAGTCAACTTTGCTTAGCTTCAGAAACTTCATTTGTTTCAGAAGTAGGAAAAAGCTCAGTGCCCCTAAGTAGTCAGTAATTCAGTGTCATGTACCCGAAAAAGAGAAGTGCATAATATTCTACTTAGATTTTTTTTTTTTATCCTAGTAGTAACTATTTGAAATGTTGAGAGTGCTTAAGGCTCAGTCCACGCTGGTACTCACGACTGTCTAATCCCACATTAGTGTTTGATAAGGAGATGGTAGTTCAGAGTAGTTCAGGTAGTTCAGACATCTGATGGAAAGTCACTGTACTGGCCATCAGCATTGGATTGATAGCAGGACTGTGATCATCAGTGGTAAAACATCAGAAGGTGATAATAATTGAGAAGGGGAGTCTTTATGGGGTATTCCATTTAAATTGGTCTTAGTTGTCCATTAATGTGTAGTCTGAGAAATTTAGAAATAAAACACGTATTTTTTCCCCTTACAGTACTTATTTATGAGCAAGGAACCTTCTTAGAAACACAAAACCTGTCCATTATCCATCTGAGATTTTCAATACTGTTTTAATAGTCTCTATTTTTTCAACTCACTCGGTCCTCAAAGAATGAAAATGGGACTGTGTTTGCAAACACAGTCTCTGAAATGCAATGTTTGACAAAGTGAAATTCCTCAGTTTGCCTCAGAAGAATGTGTCTGGACTCTAATCCTGCAGCCTTTGATAACATCTGTAGTCACTTAGCAGTGAATAAGTCTTGCAGTTCTTGTTACATGAGTGAAGCTCTCGTGATAATATGTGGATACAGAAAGTAATATGCTGTGTATTCCCAGCATGCTGGGCTTGTTTCCTTAGAGTAATCTATCATGAAATATCTCTTCTGTTAATAAAGGATCTGTTCTTAATTGCAGAGTGGTAGATATGGGCCAGACTATGAGGATAGAGTTGACAGATTTCTGCCTGAAATAGCACAGGTTTTTGTTTCTCATTTTAAGTTGCTGTTTTGGCTTTTTTAAAGAGGGGGTTTTACAAACCTTAGAAAACTCAGAATTGAATGGTATTCTTTATTTCCTCATACCAAAATGCAGGGAAAAAGGCGATTGGAATTAAGTTATCTGTTCGGTTATGATGATGTTGCCCCCTTCATCCTCTCCATGTTTATAACTATCCTTTGAAGCCTAGTCATCATCATAACTTCTGTACAAGTTAATTCCAAAAAGGTACTAAATGCTGGGTAAAAATTAACATTTAAAATGAAAGTTTTGCCTCTGTTTCTTTGAAAATAAAAGTACATTGGAATTGAGGTGAAATGAATGTGATTTTTCCATATGCTGCTACAATGTCAGTGTGTACTGTACTTGCGTATTAGATAGACTCATCTGTCCTTCATGTGTTGAACCTCTCTCCCTTTGCCATTGCCAGTGTCGTTTATCTAACACTTTTTATTCCAGATGTGGCTCTTTTAGCTGTAAATATTTAATCCAAATTAGGCATTTGTTATATGATTGTCTTATTAAAAATGCTTTTGCATGTATCAGTTGATTTTTATATCTTCTATTAAAAGGGTGTGACTGTGTGAAACTGTAGAAATTTAGTATTTTTTTTTCTGAAATTCTCTGAGAATCCTGAAAGGGTGCTCAGCTAGGTGAGATGTGGTATTGTTTTGCTTTCTAACTTTAATTGTTTATCCTATCAGACTTTTTAACTATTGCTGCACATTGAGCTGTCCACAATGACTCCTAATTATTTTTCTCAGAAGACTGAACTAATTTGGTCTCATCAAATATTTAGACAAAATCATTTCTCCTTGTGTGCATTGCATTATATTTATTTGCATTTCATCTGCTGTTGTGTTACTCAATTCTCTTAACTCAATTAGATCTTTCTGGAAATCTCTATTCTCCACAGTTCTCACTAACCCAAATAATTTCATACTACTGGAAATTCTACTGTTTGACTGTCTGCTTCCACTAATTGATGTTAACCATTGTTTTTAATGTTTGGTATACACCATATGGTTAACTTCTACCCTCCCTGAACATCTTGGTTAATGTCTTGATTATCTGAACCTTATTTATGAGATAAAATTCTTCAGATAATCAGAGACTTGGAGAAGGAGTCAGTAGAGCAGAGGTCTACTGAGAAATCTCAAATACACAGTGTAAGCTTGCTTTCTTCTGTTGTTTATAAAGGAGCTAAAGTGCTTCACAAGAGCTTCAGCACAGCATTTTGTTTGTAGAAAATGCGCAGGTGTCAGACTCCTAGGGAAGTCTTGTCTGGAAATAGCTGTAGGGTTCAGATAATGAAGTGTCCACGTCTATACATTATAATATTTTGTTTCTGTGAAATGTTACCTTACCATATGGATACTGTGGGAACATATTGCTGATCAGATGGTGAAAATGCATTAATCCTCTCTGGTTGGATGTTAGTTTGAATGTGTATTATTCTGGCTTTATGGATGAACTTTGTCATTTGTAACCTGTTTGTGTGTGAGATAGTTTAAGTGTGTGTGTGTTCTAAATGCGGTGATGTGCTTAGGAGCAGAAGAGACAGCAGCAGAAGGGTAGGAGATTAGTGTTTGGCTAATCATGATCTACTGATTAATGAGGGTGATGGCACGTTGCAGTACAACAAAGAGGTGGTTTTTTGAGCTGTATATAAATTGTCAAGCACCTGGCAGATGTTGCCAAATTGATTTTATTTTTGTGTAGATCAAGTAGAATGTAAAGAATGGATAATAGTTTTTGAGGCCCATTTTGCCCTTTTTGTACAATCTTTCTGTAGTGCTAAATATATGTTGTTTTTTTCTTTATGTATGTTTTTTTAATTTCCTAAAACTCCTTCGTTTCTCAGGTAAGATAAATTGTGACTTCTTGTTTATCAAAGTTATGCTGTATTTCCTTTAAAATCTGTTTTTCTTAATGAGGAGGTGCTTTTTGAGCAGCTGAGTAGGTGCATCATCATTATGGAGTTGTTTGGTTTTTTTTCTCCTAAACTCATGTAATTCCAAATAGTTGTAGGAATCAGACTGGTAACAAACACAGGCTGTGGATGATAGCAAGATGGTTTTCAGTAGGTTGTCATACACAACAAGGGGGGAAAAAAGATAAAGCTCTCAGTTTTTGAAATTTGTTTCAAAAGTGGGAAGCATTTTTAGTGGTTGGAACTGGTTTCTAAGAGGTTGGTGAAATAATATTAAAGGTTCTGTTCACTTTAAGTCACTTGAGTTGGTGCATCAAAAATACATGATGAAAGAAAGCATTTGTCCTGTTGGTGTTTGCTGCCTAAATGAATAACATGTCATATGATCTTTCCCAAGGGGAAGCTGAAGAATCCAAAGCAGGTCATGAAATAAAATGAAAAATTATCATTTCTGGTGTTCAGCTGACTAGTTCAACTCAGAAGCATTCTGTGTTATTAGATACATTTCACTCATTTATGACTTCTTTTTCTTTCTTCATCATCTCTGCAGCAGCTCTTGCAACGTATATCATACTATTTTATTCGTGTGAGTTCAGTGTCAATAGCCCCAAACTGAAGGATTTTACAGTTTTGCTTTTTTTTTTGGTTGAAGTAGTACAAAATGTCAAAAATTAGAAGGAAGGTCACAGTGGAAAATACCAAGACCATATCCGATAGCACATCCCGAAGACCCAGTGTGTTTGAAAGGCTTGGACCCAGCACTGGAAGTACTGCAGAGGTGAGTTGTAAAAGCGTTCTTCTTTTCCTCCCCACCCCAGCATCTTCTTTTCCAGGATTTATGTGGTGGGAAAGAGTAGTTCACAAGCACCAAATGCTCAGATGTGATTGAGATTAAGTAAAGGTGAAAAGAGCTCCTTAACGCATGGATGTTCAACATGCTAATACTAGAATTTTCAAATACCGTGTGTTGTGCCAGCTTCTGGATGGAGCAGTAGTAGTACTATGCATATTAATAATATTTCCAGAAACCTAAATTTTTCTCTGCCAGACCTGATGCTCTTTGTTGATTATTTTTTTAATCAGTTATATTACTGGTGGACAGAAATTACAGATAAATGGGACTTAATGTGGAGTCATTTGTTTGTTCTGCCACACTCACACCAATGGTATTTCCAGAAAGGAGTGTGAAATTCACCCAGTAATGTCTGTCTC